ACGACCGCTTCAGAAAGCCCCCAAACCATCATGTTCAAACGGTCAAATAAATAACCTCAAAGTAGCACTGCCATAGGTTGTGACTTCATGTGCAAGAGGTTCCCAATCCATCGCACAGCCTGCTTGACCAAGGCACTTGCAAGGGCGCCCCTTGATCATCAAATGGGAGCCCTTGCGGATCTCACCAGCCTGCAATTGCAACAGCTTTCAAGAGACAGGACTTGACTTCAATCTATGTAGGAACTGCTTGATTCGAGTAAAACAAAACAAGCAAGGTAATTCGGCGGGTTGGTAAAGAATGTTAGCTGTGCATATGCGCTGCGAGGATCTAGTCAAACAAAGAATCGGCCACTCAACACTTCTTGATCCTTGCCTGCATGGGGTAAGTGTGGGAAGCACCGGCATCAGCACTCTCGAAGGTGTGATCGTCATCATCATGATCAGCCATTGTTGAAGGTCAAGAGCTTGTTACCTCCAGCAGAAAGCCACGGATGCGACCGATACGTCCGATGCGCGATGTGAAAAAGCAAACGTCGCTCGGCCGAAGACGCACTGCAAAGGCGAAGCGAAGGAGACGCGCCCGCCCGTCTGACACAAAGAGTGCTGCGGGTCTCGCGGTTCCCGTGGCTCCCCGCAACTGTCATCAATCGTTCCAACTTCTAACCACTTCTAACCAAATCAAGTCCGATTTTAAAAAAGTTATACAAGCATAGACCCCAAACAGCTTCAAAACGATTCGCTTAGACCAAGATTAATCAAAAATCAATTTCTTGATGCGCCCTACTTTCACCCCAAGGGCAAACTACTTCATGAATGAATTTTTGTTGGCATTGACATCGCCATGTGTTCGGCCACACTCCTCTCCAGTAAGCCGGGCCACAGAGACCAGCCACAGAGTTCAGGGGCGCGGCTAAGACAAGGACAAGAGGAGGACAAGACCCGGACACAGAGCCCAGCCACAGAGTTCAGGGGCCCAGCCAAGACAAGGACAAGAGGAGGACAAGCAGAGGACAAGGCCCGAGGAGGACAAGAGCCCAGTAAGCTGTCCATAGCACACGAGCGCGCGCACGCTCTCGCCCTACTCTCTTTCTGTTTGTCTTTCTTTCTTTTTTTTCTTTCTTTTCTTTCTTTTCTTTCTTTCTTTCTTTCTTTTCTTTTCTTTATTTTCTTTCTTTTCTTTCCTTTCTTTCTTTCTTTCTTTCGTTCGTTCGTTCTTTTCCTTTCCTTTCCTTTCCTTTCTCTTTCTCTTTCTCTTTTCTCTTTTCTCTTTTCTCTTTTCTCTTTTCTCTTTTCTCTTTTCTCTTTCTCTTTCTCTTTCTCTTTCTCTGTCTTTCTCTCTGTAGAGCGCGCTCTGAGCGCGCCTTTCTGGAGCGTATGTCAGAGCGCGCGCCACGGAGCCCAGCCACAGAGTTGACAGAGTTCAGGGCGCGGAAGAGGAGGACAGGGCCTGGACACAGAGCCCAGCCACACAGCCCAGCCACAG